ATTCCTATAATTCTTATAAATTTTACACTTAATAGAAGGGGAGATGGACAATACACTAATAAATATGTATCTAATATACCAGGTAGTCATTAATATTATAAAGAAAAACAAAGGATAAGGCCATAAAGAATGATGGAAGTATGTTTTATGTGGTTGGTTAGGAAAAATATCTAATTCTGAGATTTTGGTTGAGACAAGTATACTGCATATATGTGACCATCTTATGGTCACATAAAATACTTATTTATACCTTTGCTTTCTAGCTACAGACTGCAATACACAGAGTAACACTTGCTCAGACAGCAGTACCTGTGCTTTGTGGAAGTGCCCTGAAAAACAAAGGGGTCCAGCCCTTGTTAGATGCTATTACTATGTACTTGCCTTCACCTGAAGAGCGCAACTATGAATTTCTGTAAGTATGCAGGTGTATAGGTTAAAATGTATAGCCTCAAATCACCATTTTTTAATAACAGTGGTGAAAAAATATCATTGTAAATCATATAATATAGTGTCATAGTAATTTTCACTTGGGAGGGACATTTGTTACCTCTTGTAACCTGCGTTTACAGATGGAGCTAAGAATGTGGATTTATTGCTGTGTAAACATATGTTGGCCCTGCCAACTTAGTTTAAAAAAAAAAAGGTAGTATACTGGGAACATCTGATAAATATATTTTATATCTATTCTAGATTTCAAGATTTTTCAAAAGCTCAAAATACTTTGTGGCTATAAAGAAGATCATTGTTTGACTCCTGTTGCCACTAACAACTTTGTACTTACTAATAAATCCTCTAAAATCTGAGTGTTGTGTAAAATGGCAGTTGAAACTGGACTTTAATACATTTAACTAGGAAATTAACCACTTTTCATATCTCTCAATTGGAGAGGCATTACAACGAAGTGATTGTGAGCGTGGACTGTGTTCTACCTGGATTTAAATTCCACCTCTTCCAAGTTGCTTAACCTCTTATCTGTGAAATGCAGAGAGTAGGGCCTATCTCAGAGGATTGTTACAAGAATCAAATGAGTTAATGTTTAAAAAGTATATGGAACAGTGCCTAGTGTAAGCTTTCTATATAAGAATTTATTGAATAAAATTAAAACTGGAGGAATCGTATTGGAGAATTTCTGTAATAGAAATGTCTAACCTACTTTGAACCATGGACTCCTTTGAAAGAAATGAAAATAGAGAGCTTTTCCTAAGAAAAATGTACACAAAATCCTATCAATGAACACCAACTTCAGGACATTATTCTGTAAGAATGCTGGCTGATAAACAAGTTCAGATTTGCAGTGTATGTTTATATGGTCATGTGACTGGAGAGAAAGTAATTGGAAAGCCCGTATCTATTCACTCTGTACAGGTTTTTTGAGAAAGTGCTGTGATGTTCCTCGGAATATTTTTTTGAGGAGGGAACTCTTGGTTATGGAATTATTTGCAAATTGAGGTAATATTTGGAAGAGACCCCATTGTTTTTAGTTTTGAGGAATTAATAATTCAGTGGAGGAAGTGGGGTACTGACATTGTTTAGTCAGTCTGGGCAGCTAAACTAGAAGATTGGAAGGCTCTTTGGAGGACATCAAGATTAAGTTTGTGCAGCGATTATGATCTGATTTGGATAAATATATTGGAAGTGT